CGTCCTTTATAAGGCTACCTCGCTTACAAGAACGTTTAGCCTTAGCCTATTAGCTGGAAGCGCAGCATAATTCGTCACGGCCCACTTAACTAATAGCTCTCGGTGCTTATGTGGAAGCTGTGTTCTCATTGTTCCGCGCTTAGCGAAGCGTTGAAGTTTTTGGCCGTTGAGCACTCAGCCTTAGGGCATAAAACAATTCCCTTTCATGTTCCTTCGTTTCGACGACGGGGGACCACGCCTCCCGTCGTTCCCGTCGACACCACCGCCTCTGGTGGTGGCACCGCCCCGCCCTCACGGTGGACAACTGCTCAACGGCTGGAATCGATCTGCTGCTTGAAACATATTAGTCATTAAATCGCTGCTAACTACCTCATTTTAAGAGGGAAAATGAGGAAAAGCCCCGTCTATTAAGCCAGTTGTTTGCTACCAATTTCTAAACTCTCTTGCATTGCAACAAGTTATGTGGACTCTACTACTAGTTAGTCTAACCACCCTAGCCCCTATCACCTCAACCCTATCATGTAAACCCCGTCGTGGGGGAACTCCCGTCCCACTTGGAGTATTTCTAAACAGTGCACCAACGAAATCCCTGGATAAAAAGCTCTTCGACGCAAAACCAGCCATTAAACTTGCTCTAAACTATATTCAGAATCATTCCTGTATACTAGACGGTTTCAAGCTGGAGCTCATCTATAAAGATACAAAGGTATGTGAGTGTTCCTTGTTTTCATCTTCCTCTGCTCAATCCAATTAGACATGGCTTATCAGACGTGCAATTTATGCGAACGTTCCTATTCTTTTGTTTGTTAGTCTCTGAGTGATTATGAATCACCTGTGTTCACTTTATTTACTGTGCCCATTTCAGCTTCTGAGGCGAAAGTAAGCTTTTTTCTCTTGCACTTTGATAGTTCTTGCATGCGAACGTCCTTGAATGATTAGCGAAAGTGGGTGAGAAGTTTGAAGCGCTTCTCGCAAATAAGATTATATTTAAGTACACTTGAACTTGTTTGGGGGATCTAGCTTCACTAACCAGATATGAATTGCAAGGTAAGGCTGCTGCAAATTCATTCTTTTCCGTTTTCCTCAAAAAA